AAAGAAAAAAGAAAAGAAAAGAAAAGAAAAAAGAAAAGAAAAGAAAAAAGAAAAGAAAAGAAAAAAGAAAAGAAAAGAAAAGAACAGAAAAGAACGAACGAACGAACGAACGAACGATAGATAGATAGATAGATATAGACAGATAGATGGATAGGCAAAAAAGCCAAAAGCCACAAAAGCCGCAGAAGCCACGAAAGCCAAAAGCCACAGAAGCCACGAAAGCCAAAAACCACAAAAGCCAGAGACCACAGAAGCCAGAAGCCACGAAAAACAAAAAAACACACCAGAAAACAAAAAAATCCAAAATTAAATGGCCCTTCATATCGAATCCACGAAGGACCAGAGGACCAAGGGACTAGCGGACCAGTGGACCAGCGGACTGTAGGGGACCAGCGGACCAGCAGACCAGAGGACCAGGGGACCAGCGGACCAGAGGACCGGCCACCTACACGACTGGGAATTCCAGGGATTTCATCGCACAACGAATATTTTTTTTGATTCAGTAAATATTTTTTTTCCAATACCTATGCCTATGCCCGCTTGAAGGGTCGGCCCTCGGAAACCACCGGCCGTCCTTGACCCAGTGGTGGAACTCGGTCAACAAAGTCCTGAGAGCATGGAGAAAGCTTCAACCTTTAATCATTGATACCAACAGTGGCAAACACTCCAAGCACAAATGACCTCCACGACCTCCTCACCAAGACCCCCCCGCAGCCCCGACCCGCGCCGCGGGACGCGTCACGACCCGCGAAGGACTTGCAGCGGCAGCGGCAGCTGAGCGAGGCGTCCCGGCGGGCCATGTCGATCGACTACTGCCGAGAACAAGGCCGGAAAGATCGAAGGACGGGGTGTTGGTGTTGGTGTTGGTGGGGGGAGCACAACAAGCAAGGACAAGTGGGTGGAGACATTTTTGTACGAAAGTGGGTGGGAGACGGAGAAGAGTGATACTGTAAAGGGCATTTGTTCTCACTTTCATTGGTCAGAAGAAGAACTTAGAGAAAGAATAAGAAGAAGAGGAAGAAGAAGGAAGGAAGAGAGAAAAGAAAAAAATAACGAAAAACAAATAAAGACAGAAAGAAAGACAGACAGACAGACAGAAAGGAAGGAAGGAAACAAAAACAGAAGGACAGAACAGAAAGAAACAAGCAAAGACAGACATAAAAGAAATAATTTTTAAAAAAGAAAACAAGAAACAATGAGTAGATTACAGATACACTATATGGATAGTTTGGTCTTCTCCGATCTTGCAGAAAACGCGTTACATATGAGGGATGTCAGGTGTTTCCTCCTCCAACAAGGTTGTTAAACATCTCAGGAAAGGGCGGTATGCTGCAAAGAAAAACCCGTGATCTTGTGGATGTTTGTAGGAAACATATTGGGGCAAACGAGATCAAAAACACTGGTTGATTTGGTGGTTCATTGATTCTTTCAGAGCATTTCCATCCTGCCTATGCTCCAAGATTGCTCCCTGCCACCACATCAAGACTTGCAGTTCAAAGCCAAAGATCACATCCGAATCCATCATCCCAGTTGCTTGCCTCTTCCCCCTGGTCCAAAATGAGCCCCACCCTCTCCTTTTTCTTGGGACGAACGACCCAACGACCTGACCCAAAAACCGAGCGCCGAAGCCAGCCGCCGGCGCCAGCGGCCGAAAAACCGAGGCAGTAATGCCATGATGCGCTGGCTCCGCGGCACGCCCATCGACGTGAATTACGACTTCCGCCGCTGGCGCAAGCATCAGGTGGAGCAGCCCGGCCCGAGCGCGGGGGACGAGTCCAGCCGTTGAGCCTCCGGTTTCAGCGTCAAAAAGAGTCCCCCATGGATTTGGGACCTTTTGAACGAGGTTGACCCGCCTCCGACACCAGGAAACCCACCCAGCCAAGCAGCTGGGGAACGCTCAACCCCCGTCCTCGCCCATGGTGGATCTGCCGTGGATCTGCCAGGTGGCCACGCGCCATATCCTTCTTTGGTCGCCGCGCAATGCCTTGAGGCCGCCACGATCCGGTGCGTTGTTTTGAGGGTTCGAGGGGAAGGGCCGCCACGGCGGTCCGTCCGGTCTGCTTGATTCCGGAGGCAATAGGTGAAGCAAGAGGACCCTGTAGCCCACTAGTCTTACAAGAGATATGACACACTTCAAGACCTCAAGAACAAATGGAAGAGATGGAAGGCTCTTTCGCTCTCCGTAAGTTTCGAGTGGCTGCATTCACTTGTTCATCTCCATTTTTCGGGTCAGCCACCCTCATTCCCTATGCTCCAATTGCCGTGGACTGCACAGCCTCGACTTCCCAGCTCGGACCGAGGTGGGATTTGCTGCGACGACTTCTCTTCCCGGACCTGGCCTGGCTTGGGCTGAACAGCAGCCTCCTATGCCTCTACAATGTGCCACCGGGCTTGTTCGTGTCGCGGGGGCCCTTTTTTTGTGCGACACGTCGTGAGGTGGGCCAATTCTTGACCCCTTGGTTGGAAAGAGGGCGGAAAAAGGGTTGGAAAGGTCTGGAACACGTGGACAAGTTGTTGGGATAAGCAGGGACACACCTCTATATCTATTTGTGGGGCACTGAGGTCGACTCTGGGTGCACCAGTTGCAACCCGCCCACAGGTCAGGAAAAGCGCCATCTCTCCTTTTGACCAGTCTTGAGGTGGGGGATGGTGCCATTTTCTCACATCCTCCGACGGCGTGGCCCATCTCACTGGAGCGGCGCGGCCTGAGTTCCGAAGACGGCCCACATCTGCCCACACAAGGGTACATGAATCCATGGGTTCCATGGGTTCCCTCGGGGAGAGTGAACTGGCACCGTTCTACTGAACCAGGCCCTAGAGATGTCATGGAGAATCACGAGCCGTTCTCACATGGTTGATCACCGTTTGGAGACGACTTGAAAGACGACATTTTCCATCGGTGACCCCACCTGATCGTGCTTTTCGACCTGGAGTCCTCGTCTATGAAAACAGGTCCAGGGGGTGCAGGCGGGGCGGTCCGCCTGCAGGCAAAGGTGGGAAAGATGCGACGCTTCTGATTGATCTGGACTCTTTGGGGGACGAGTTCGCCCCGCGGCGTCTCCACATCAACCGGTCTGGCTTGGTAGTGGTCTGGATATCGACAATCAGTGTGAAAGGGACCATAGGGTACCAATCACGCAGCTTGCAGCCAGGTACATTTGATGGCCACGGCTTCACCAATACTCTCAGTGCCCTTAGTGCCTTTGCCAGCAGATGTTATTACTGCGCTCTCACAGACAAACAGCATTCGAAGAGACCAATGGGAAACAACATCTTGGGCGAAAGAGCGTTGTTGAACAATCACCGCTACCGGATCATTCTTGCTTCAAGCACGGTGCCTTTTGTGACGTTCAAATTGACCACCAAACGACTTGCGCCACCTTTCCAGATGATAGTGCTGATTAAACTCCAGTGCGTCCTGTACCTGAACTGAGTATCCTCCTTTAGTAGCTATCTTTTGGATTTGGTTCCTGACATCCCTTTGCTTGCACCCCGCAAAACGCCTCCTTCTCTTCGGCTCCATCCAATGCTCGCCTCGGCCCTCTCAGGTGACGGTGACCATGCCCTCCTTCGCCTTGGGTCTACTGATCACCTTCAAGACGCAGAGTGGGTCGGGAGGCGAAGAAAGGTGGGAACGAAAGAAGTGGAATGGTCAAGCCGGTGAAGCAAGGTGAAGGAGAAGCAAGGGGTAGAAGATCACTGTTCAGATGGGCCTCTGAGGTGGCACATTGTGCCTCCAGCGGCTTTTTCAGTGGGTTTTTGAGGGTCTTGCAAGCATGCACATTCTGATGTTGCAGACAGGGACACACCAGAGGATTTTGGTTACCAATTTGGGTATGGTTTAATCATCACTCCTGGCTTGGTCCTCGGTGGACCTTCTAATGAAGGTGTAGTTTTTAGGAACGCCACATGGAAGAAACGCCCGGCATGTGGAGTAGGACGCTTGTCAACCCTGCTAACAAACCACGATTTGTCTCAGTGGCTCTTCCAATTCTAGCACTTGGACACACAGAGATCCAGATTTGCTTTGAGCCCAGTTTGTTCGAGACTTGCGGAAGCTGAGGTATGAGCGCTTCATTGAAGGGCGGACGTTGTGGGAACATCTTCTGAGAGAGCACTGGCAGCAACTGGTGTGGCGACTGGCGGGTTGTCTGACGGTAGTTTCGGACATAGATTTTTGATACTGATTGAGTTAAAGAGAAGGGGGGAAGCTTGAATTGTGCTGAAACTCGGCGCGGTCGCTAGCAGCTCAGAGGTTGCCTGTTGAAAAGGCATTGGCCATTTCTGACCCTTGACTTGATAGACTGGATAGACCGGATGCTCATCCTATCCAAAGGCTGTCAGACCGACCTCCACCTTGGTCGCGACCGAAGGCTCCGGCCTGTTTGGCCACCGACCTTTCAAAATCATTCAAAAGCCCCTTGTTGCGTTCGTAGCTTCTAGCTCGTAGCTTTCAAAAAGCCGCTTCGGAAGCTGAGTGAAGCTTCGAAGCTGTCGTCTCCTTCTCGAAATGACTGACGCAGTCGCTCGCGAGTTGAACCGACGCCACCGACACGACCACGACAGAACCGACGCCGCTGGTGAGCCGCTTACGACGTGAGACGCAGGTTGACTCCACCCTCCGTCCTTTTTCGCTTTTGTTTTCTCAAAAACTCCGGAGAGGAAACGTCTGAGGAGGAGAAGGAATCTTCTGTCGGAGAAGTGCTCTGTGCGGTAGAGTTTTAAATCACTTTTGGATCTATTTTAGATCCTCACTCTCGAAGTCCAGACAAAGGCCATTTGGAAGAGTGATTTCCGTGGGATCCGTTCCAGGAGAGCCGGGCCCTTTGTAGCCGCATCTTGCTGCGGGTGCCCAGCAGCAACGGGACCTTGTGCACGCCGGTCTTCGAAGCGTTTCTGGGCGGACCAATCGGCTTTTTCGGATGGCCTTTCGGATCGGGGAATGGGGAAGTCCCTTTGAGGATTCGTTCTTGGACCTGAGCCCCAAACAAGCCACAAACAAGGGGAAGTCTGGGCCAAGACAAGCACCTTAGAAGCTTCTGTGGCGACATGATTGGAATTGACCTTCCCAGAAAGAAAACACATTGGTTTGAGCTACAAGTGTTTGCTGTGAAGGTCAGTACATGCCTCCACTCCCATTGGGGACCACTCCAGACTCCAAGCGCTCCCATGTGGATCCCGCCTCCCGGTGACGAAGGGTCCCATTTGTTGGAAGAAAAGGGACCACTTTGAAGCCACTTGGCCCAACTACACCATGTTGCCTCAAAAGTGGTTCCGAAATCGAGCCAATTTCTAACCGGCTTCCAAGGGGTGACCAATGGACAACCCTTCACTGCTTATAGGTCATGATATACCACACCCAAACAGGAAGCGCTTTTTGTTAAAGCAATGTTTCACTTGACTCAGGAGCCTCAAGAGCTCCTGGAATCCCGAACCCTTGGGGTCGTTTGGCGTCTCCGAGGCAGCGCAGGGCGGTGAAGCTCGTGACCTGCTTTCCCGTGGCCTTGAAGTATCACCTCACTGAGGAGTGTGGGGAGAATCGGTGTGGGCCACGCGGGGAGATGGGATATAGGCATAGGCGCAACGCGTTGCGTAGGCACCGGTTCATAGGGTGCCTTTTTTTGGGGGGGGATGAAAGAGGGCCTGACAGTCTTCTGGGAGGTAGAAAGCACCGAGAGTTGACTATCATATGAAGAAAGGTTCTTCAAGGCTACCAGTGGGTGTGGATCTGTGTGGATGAGACTCCATTTTTGAGCCAGAGCACGGAACACCTATGAAAGAAATGCGAGAGCGCGTGGGTGAAGGACGGAGGGAGGCCGCAGGGAGGCCGCACCCCCGAGCGAGGCTTCGGTGTGCTGGGAAATCGGTTTGTCAGGAACATCTCGGAAGCGACCGCTTTTCCTTCGCGCAGTAGAGATAGTAATGATATGCAAAACGTCCCTTTCTGGTCCCCGAAAAGAGAAAACATCGTGACTGCAGGATGTCGGTGGTGACATGACATCTGAAGCAACCATTCAGCTTGGCCCAGATTCAGTTGAGCAGGCAGAGACTGGGCGTTCTGGCGCGCCAGGATGGGTGCAATCCCCACATTCAGCTAGGCGGCTTGGCTGCTCTTCGGGTGACCGTGGACCATGATAAAAGGCCTTTTCATGCCCTTTCCAAGGCCAATTCCTTTTGAAAACAGGTCTACCTTCCTCCCAAAAGGCCATATGGGGAAAGTACATGTATACATAGACCTTCACAGTAATGCCGCGTGAACCTAAGATCCTCAGAATTGTGCGGGTGCAACTTGAAACCTCGTGAATGCTGCTATGATCATGAGACACATCGTGTTTGTGCAACATATTTTGGGTTTCCAAGGCCAAGGCCAATCTTTGGCTTCAATCAAACTCAAAAAAAGAGGTTCAATGCACACAGGGACATTGAAAAAGAGGTTTTTCTGTTGTTGATTCAGTTTGTGGTGATCGATCTCCGAATGCTGCCTCCAAAGACCGTGCCAAAAAAGTCGCTATTCACCGTTTTTCATGTGTTCTAGACCAGTTTGGGTGCAACTGGTAATCCGTACTCAACTCGTACTTACGTCGGGAATCTCGGGTTTGGGGGACGGGTACAGGTACCAAGACTTCGGGTTGAGGTATCCCCCACAGGCCCTTCCCACGCTGTTTTGTTCATGTTTTTTGCAAGTCCTTGGCGGTAGTTATGAGAGCTCCTCACAGCAATGAAGCCACCACCCAAGGGACCATGATGAACATCTTTGGCCAGTGGAAAACAGTGCTAGTGAGGTTTTTGCCCACCTCGGGTTTGGATTGGACACTTCGGCCCTTGGATTTCTTCTGCCTTTTATTCTAACGCTACATGCAATTGGACCCCTGTTTTGATAGGAAAAGATGGTCTTTTCGTGGTTGGCGGTCTAAAATAGAAGTAACTCAGGGTCTAGGAGTCTAGGTCAAGGTGTATTGAACTATATACAATATTTAGTTGATATATAGAATACCATGTTTCTATCCTGGTTTGCCATTCACCATGAGAATCATGAGAGAGGTATTTGGGTTCAGGATCAGAATCGGGTGCATCCCCAGTCATCGATTGACAGGTTGGAAACATGGACCAAGTCACCAGTAGACTTCGTGAGGGCTCGAAGATGTTCGCCAACGGCCCTAGACCTTTGCCTAGACTCCTGAGCCAACGAGCAGAACTGACGCTGATCTGCCATGATCCTCCGATCTGTTTTCCTTTTTAGTAGTGGGGGTGTCGCCTACCTCATGGCATCTCCTGTCTGCTTCTACGAACCTTGGGGCTGTTTCTGGCCATGTATGACCCCCCGACGTATGCTCGAAGCTGTCTTCCACTCCTGTCTGGATTCGGAATGCAGCGCTCCGACCAAAAGGGATGGCACCACTGGCGCCCACCTTGCGAGCGGTTTTCAGACCAACCAGGTCACCGCTCTTCTCAGACCTCGTCTCGCGTGGGGCCGAACAGAGAGAGGAAGACCCTGCACGGCTCGCCAGGTGATCGTGCTCGGGAGGAGGAGGTGCAACGCGCCACGACGCGTGCCTTCCAGGTGGGCGAAGCGACGCGAGAAGGGGCGGCTGGGTCCAGGAGGAGAGAGGTGGAAGATCTAAGAGGACCAACGTCCAAGCATTTAAGGTGAGTTTGGTCAGTTCAGTTGTGTGGGACAGGGTCATGGAGCTGGAGGATTCTGCGAGTTTGGCACTTGGGAATTGCTGCGGTATCATCTTGAAGTTCCAAGTCGTGATATATGGCATGGGCAGTTCAGCCGAGCTGGTCTGAGATGGGACGTGCACTCTGGAATCCAGCCGGTTTGTTGAGCAACACGTGGCAATCCGACCCTCGACATCGCAACTTTCAAAGGTTCGAGGAGACCGAACATGGTTTTTGATACGTCTGGTTCTTCGCCCTCTAACAGCTGCCAGGCGAAGAAACGCATTTCTGCTACCACCAAACCAAACGAGTTTTATTTGAGGTCATGATTCACTGAGGATGCAGTAGGTAGTTTACATGGATCGTCTTCCAATCTGAGCCCCCCAGTGTGGAGCCCAGAATTCTCGATGTGGCCGACAGAAAGAGTTGAATCGTCCTTCTGCAGCTTGCCAGCTTGAATCCGCTACAAAAAGAACGAACCTGAAACAGCTGCAACCCGGCACGTCTCTTCCAGGCGGAGTTGGGACGGATTTGGGACATGACCTGCCCGGAAGAGCGCGCGATCGTGGTGCCTCCGACTGCAGCGAGTGACAGCGAGCGGTTTTCCTTGGAAGCGGAGTGATCGCTGAGGGCCGCCTCCGCTGAAGGTTGACACCGGGGTTTGACCACCAAGCGGTGTCATTTTCTGTGACACTGAGATTCTGAGTGGATAGCAGTGGTTGCAGATGAGAAGCCAGCGTTTTCTGCATTTTTACTGGGTGCCAGGGACGCTGTTGTTCTCGGCCAGTGTAGGGGGTCTGGATACCAAGGCACTGGCGAACTGGGCGCTGCCCCAACAATTAGTGCTTTGCATGTAAGACTCCAAAGGAATTTGTATTCTTTCGCGGCTCCCTGCCGGGAAGAGGCTTGGACGATGTGACACCAGGTGACACCTCCCTTATCTTCCCAGAGCTGAGCGCAGTTGACAGTGCAAGAAGCATATTGAAGAAGCAGCATGGACATAAATGACCAAAAGGGAGGGAAGCTTCATGTTTTCTATCCAGGAATATCCGGAATGCTGTACCAAGTTTGAAGAGGCAAGAAAGTGTGTTTTTTCCCCAGATAGTGACAGCTATGGGGTTCTTACTTCAAATAACAATGAGCTGGCTGTGCACGCTTTTGAGACAGGGTGCCGGAGCCGGGCGCTGGTGCTGGCTGTGGTGCTGGTGCTGGGTGCTGTGAGCTGGATGTGCGCGTGGTGGAGACCGGGTGCCGGTGCCGGGTGCTGGTGCTGGGTGCTGTGAGCTGGTGTGCCGGTGCCGGGCGCTGGTGCTGGCTGTGCGTGTAGTGGCGACACGCCACGCTGTACTGTGGTGTGTTTTCCACTTCAAACAAGGTTCCTGTGTGTACTTTGGAGCTGCTGCCAATGTAGAGCGCAGTCCAGTCCATGCTGGTGTAATTTTTTTTCCTGGAGAGTACAAGGAGCCTTTATTTCTTTTCTCAGATGAATATGAGAAATGCGGTACCAGGACCTTCCCTCCTCAGCTACCTCCCAAAACGGTCACCTTTGTAAGCTACGTGGGATTTCTTTCTTCGGCCTCGACTCGGTCCGCGAAGCTCGAAGCGCGTCGGCGTGGTCTCGGCAACGGATGACCCCCGTGAGGATCGGATCCTGACGAGCGCGGCGAATCGGCCGCTGCAGATCTTGCATGAGCTCCAGCATTTGAATAGCTCTGAGACTTGGTCCAAGACCATCCGCGAGGGGGGCCTTAAAGGGGTGAGTGTTTGGCGAAGACGAAGGGGCCGAAGGGGCCTGCTGCGGCCCGGCGGCCGAAATCAACCTCATTTAAGTGACTTAAGCCTCATATTGTAAAGCTAGGCGCAGCTTTGTGGAGCGAATTTTCGTGAGCATGCTTATTCTTTTGATGCAGTTTTCCGCTAGAGAAATCATCTCAGTAGTGCCTTGCCGTATTTGAGACATTGACCAGAGTCTTATAGTCTTGTGATCAGTTGAGGAGACATGCTTTCACCAGCACGCTCAGCGATGGAATTGGAGGCCTTTTTGGCCTCCAAATGGGATGTGCCATGGGGGTTTGTCTGAAGATAAGGACCCCCCAGTTTCCCGCTTGATCCCACTTTCGCTAGACGACGGCCAACCCTTCGGAGAATGGCTGAGGTCTTCTCGGTGGCCAAGTTAGGCGGCTTGGACCCGCCTGCCGCCAATGAGCTGGATCGCAGCATTATGAAGTTGCACAACGTGCCCCTAGGCGTGTGACCACATGTGACCACCGCGCGGGTTTGAGAAAGACATTGGGAGGGTCCAGCTATGTCAAGTTCAGTTCCGAAGAATGTGGTGGAGGGTGTCATGCAGAAAATGGGAGAAGGAAGCAAGGTAGCGGCGTCATTAATGACCCCGCTGTTTTTTAGTATTCCAAACATGAACACTCCACGAAAACGATGTCTTTAATGGTTTGCGAACTGCGTTTCGACTGTTATTTGCAGGAGAACGAACAATTTTGTCAGAATTCCATTGTGTAAAATGTTTCGCTCCGAGCAAAAAAAGAAAATGGTCACCAACATAAATTTTAAGCACTTCAAGAAGGAGCGGATCAGCGGTGGAACTTTCACTCCAGGTTTTCAACAAGCTATCAAGATACCAGGGGTCTACCTCAAACCATGATTGCAATGATTTGGGGAGCTGATGCACCCCTGTCCACCACCCTAACCTCAACACAACGAAAGCCGAAGCTAAAGCGGAAACAACAAAACTGCGTCCGGATCAACGACGAAAAAACACATCTCAGTGAGGCATGTTGACCCAAAACGGTCCAGCCACCAAATATCCCAGCACTCCATGTAAGGAATGTTTGCCTACATTGACTCCTGAAACCATTCCAATGTAGGTCAATATGCCATACATGGAGTGTTTGGGAAATGTTAAGGGGTTAGCCAAAAGATTTGAAATGGCACGCTGGATGGGCGTTGATGATGTGCTGTATGCTTATCCACGCATGGCCATAGAAGACTTATAAAATCTAAGGTTAGACTTGAAAAAATCCAGACGGGTTTGAAACACGCATGTGTGCAAGAAAACATGTGTGCGCAACACAGCACGCTTCGTGTATACATATTGGTGTGCAGAGCGCAGAAGAGTTTCCTTCGTACGGGTGTGGAGTTTGAACCGAACGTTAACATCCCACCCCACCCCACCCCTCCCCACTCTCAGTCACTCGTATTGTGTACGTAGCGTTGAAAGGTTTCGGCTGTATGGGTGTGCAATCTGAACCGAACGTTAACATCCCAACCCCCCCCCCACATGCTATGATGTGCATGACGGACACGTCAAAAAGACCTGTAAATACCGCCCGAAACTATGCAAACCCTCAAAAACAGCGGGGTCGTTACGCCGCCAGCGGAAACAAGATGGGCACAATCCCCGCAAGGGGGTTCTATGTGGATGTTGAATGATTTTCGTGCAAATACCTTGGCCATCTTTTTTTTTAAAGCCGGTCCTCTGGCTCTGATCACTGGGATGGGGATGAACTATGAGGAACTTCACATTCTGGCGAGCAACAACTGGTCTCATGTTGGTTGGCCGAATCTAGTGTAAGTCAGTATAGGAATGTCTTGATCTCTCAGTAAGTCGAGTAAGGTTTTGATCCAGACCAGGCAGACTTGCAGGCGGGACATGACTATTAATTGTTTGGACTTGAACATCTCCGCAGGGCTCCAGTTTTGGGTATGATATGCTGAACAATAAACCGGCCAATATTGAGGTTCATCAAGCCAAACGTCGTTGTTTCGCGCGACCAAGCCTCATGTCATTTGGATGAGACAATTCAAAAACCCATCAAAAACCCATCAAAAACCTCGGGTGAAAAAGTGCCCTGCCAAGCTCAGATGCCAGCCAGATCCATCTTCTCGAAGCAAGAAACACCTCAGGTTGGGTGCCTGCGAGAAGATCTTGCGCACGCCCATCTACACGCCCTACACGCGGTTTACCAGTCGTCCCTGGGGGCGGTTCACAGCGGTTCGTGCCGGGTTCGTTTGGTGGGTCCACTTGTTTTTTTTTAAACGATTGAGTGGATGGTGGATGACAGTTTCAGAAGTCGATGGCATGAAGTTACCCAAGAGGCCCATTTGTCGACATTGAACCTCTGGTGCCGGGGTGCCATCGACCATCGAACCTCAGAAAGCACTGCAATACTTGGAGTCTCTGTTTGTGACCATTTACAGGACTCTTGGTGCATCCTGGGATCTCATCACTTAGGTAACTTCTGCTTGGTCCCGGGTACTTGAGGGGTTGTGAATCAACGGTCAGCATGACTTTTCTTCCGCAACTGCTTTGCTGTTTGGCTTCTTGATTCATGCAAGTGCCCTACACCCCCTTCACTCCCACTGGTCGCCCGAAAAAGAGCCTCCCACACTGGGTGGCTCTTGCGAAAGGCTTTTCTGATGTTTTCTGTCTTTCTCTCTCAGATCGTCCTACTTCCTTCCGTCGACGGCGGAGGGTTCTCCGCGGAGAAAATCCGCCCGCGGCGACGCAACCGAGGCTTTCTGTTTGTGTGGTGCAATGCCCTGCCGGTGGCCATGTTTCCCTTGCTCGGCCCGGCGGGGGACTTGGAGGCGAAGGTCGAGTGAAAGTAGTAGTATGTAGTATGTAGTATGTAGTATGTAGTATGTAGTATGTAGTATGTAGTATGTAGTATGTAGTATGTAGTA